GTCAGCAGGTTAGTCTCTCGGTCCCTAAAAGTATCCACCGACTTGTATATATTTTTCTCTATTTCAAATGTTGAAAGTAAATCAATGAACAATACTTTCTATATCTAAATATAAGTAAAAATAATAATGTTTATTCTCCCTAGATTCATATATATGAATTTAGAAAAAATATTTATTCGTTGAATAGAAACAAAAATTATTATTAAATTGGTTTATAGTATACTTAATTACGTGAAAAATAATTAATTTTGTTTATAATTGTATTAAATTCTTGGAGTGGACATGAACAACATGATTTTGTAGAATTTTGTTTGTATATATTTATTCATCTTATTTATTTTCATACAATTTAAATTTCTTACCTTCTAAGTTTAAAAGTGGTATTCACAGCTAACAATCCGAACATATATATCTATCTCGCTTTAATGTCTTAAGCAAACTAAACCATTGTGCTACCCTTTCGTCTGGTGAAACAACAGACTCTATGCATGAAATCATAAACCATTGTTAGTTTCTTTCTCTTTCCAAGCAATTTACCTTATTTGTTAGCTTTTGTATACTTTCGTTTCCACAGTGCACATTTGAAAGCTGATAAGATTTTTATAAATAAACTTATTTTAAGCAGTTAATAAAGGTTTGGCGGAAGTATGTAAAAGTATGGTGAGATTTATATATAAACTTATTTTAAGCAATTAATAATCCTGCTACTCCCATTCTACGTTTATACTCGTGATATTACATTCAGTTCCGATCCCCGAGTTTCACCTTGCTCAGGCATACAGTCTTAGTTGGCAGCAACACCTCACCAACTTCCTATAAATCGTACCTTGTGAACCTCAAAATACCATTAGTACATCTAGTTATTTTGATTCTTGATTTATGGCATCATATTAGTGTAACTTTTTTCTGAGAAATAAAATCTTAGACATGCCTGTAGTGGCTGGAAAATATTTAAAATATAAAAGCAATAATGCAGCAGGTTTTGAAGTTCAAACACTTCTACGCCATCGGGAGCCATCTTATTTATGAATCCTGACATAAATTCAGTAGGCTCCCAGTTCGAAAAGTAATAATATCAAGATGACAAATCCTATGAACGGGTGTACATATACGCTCAGAGAATTTAAATGAACAGAGTTCATCTTTAGAACGTCATATTGCTTTGGAACTTATATAATGACCACACCAACCAATCATCAGTTTTCAGTTTCATAGAAAGGCAAACACAGAAAAGGTTGTTGTAGGGGTTAGTGTGTCCAAATTTGAAAAAATGCTAGTAGCTTTGTTAACCTTAGCATTCCTTCCCAACATTATCCAAGTGGATGCCAACTTTTCCAAGAGCATGCACCTCACTTGGGGAGTCCAACATGCATCAATTCTGGGTGAAGACCTTCATCTTGTGTTGGATAAAACCTCAGGTGAAACATTTATGCTTACCATGCACCAATTTAGATTTCAATTGACTGGTATCACATGGTGAGAAAACTTTGCATCAACGAGAAAAGAACAAAAGTTAATTGCATTGCAATTGAATACTGGTGGAAAAGAATGATAAGATGAATCCGATAACATTTAAGTCTGAAGATAAGAGCATAACAAAGATATGTTCGTATAGAACTTTACCCAAGACTTCTGATCAAACTAAACATTGCCGAATACTATGCAAACTAAAGTAAAATAAATAATAAAAATGCACTATCTACTTACTTCTAGCTGAATGGTACAATGTGTTATTGTTGTTGCCTTCGGATTTCAGGGTCAGCTGCTCAATCGAAGAGATCATTCTTATTTGGAAGCATTGAAATGCAAATCAAGCTTGTACCTGGTAATTCTGCCGGAACAGTCACAGCATACTATGTAAGTTCACTGGATCCAAGAGATCTCGATAACACCAAAATATGCACTTTTGAAAAAACAAATCCATCAAGCTTCCATTACTAAAAGAAATGCTAATTAATGTCTCTTGCCCAAACAGTTATCTTCTGCAGGAAGCCAGCATGATGAGATCGACTTTGAGTTCTTGGGCAACAGTACAGGACAACCATACACTGTCCATACTAACTTGTACACACAAGGAAAAGGAAGCAGAGAGCAACAGTTTTACCTCTGGTTTGACCCAACTGCTAATTTTCACAATTACACCATTCACTGGAATCCCACAGAAATTGTGTAAGTTGATAAATTTTACCAGAGCACAAACTTATTCGACTTTCTAAAATTGTTTATAACCCATTAACTAGAATCCTGTGACTGGTACCTCAGCTGGTATGTTGATGATGTGCCAATTCGTGTTTTCCGCAACCATGAACAAGAGGGTATCACTTACCCAAACAAACAAGGAATGAGGGTTTACACCAGCCTATGGAATGCAGACAACTGGGCAACCAGAGGCGGCCTAGTAAAGACGGACTGGAATCACGCACCATTCACAGCCAGATTCCACCATTTCAGAGCAAGGGCTTGCAAGTGGGGTGGAGCAAAGAGCATCCATCAATGTGCCTATAATACCCCTGCAAATTGGTGGACTTCCGCTAGATACAAGAAGCTGACCCACACCCAGTTGGAACAGCTGAATTGGATCAGAAACAATTACATGATCTATGACTACTGCACAGACACCAAAAGATTCAACGGACAGATGCCTCCAGAATGCTTTAAACCACAATTCTAAACATCTGATTCGTATTCCCTGCAGTCACTTTCCACCATTCACACAGTCAGCGATTCAAAACTATTACACAAAGATCGGAACATTTTTTTTTCTTTGAAAATCAAACTTAAAACATGTACTTGAAGCTGATCGTCCCATCTTCATCGAATAGTCACAAAAAAAGTTGACAGTGTGAAGGTGTGGAAATGTAGCTGCAACAAAAGTCACGCATCTCGGCAGCTGAATTGTTTTCATCTCCTTTCTTCTTTCGTGTAACATTTGTTTCTTATTTGTCCCGATCTTGGTGATACCATTCTTGTTCACCATGTACTAAATAATCTTTTATCCATGAATAAACAAATTATGTGATATGGGAATTTGCAAAGTGAACCCTAGGCGATGTAATGAAATTGGAGGCTCTTAAGTCGTAACAAAAAACATAACAGATTAAAAAGTTTAAAAAATGATTTTACAAAGATGGTGGAAAAGCCACTACTAAGAGTTGATGCAGAAGCAGAGACCGAGGACAATAAGAGCGGTACCGAAGAAAGCGCGGAGGAGGTGCGTGCGTTCCCCGAGAAATATGCCGAAGATGGCGGTGGCGGCGAAGGTGGTGGCGTTGGTGACAGGGACGGCGAGGGAGAGCGGGGCGTCGGAGAGGATGGCGAAGAAAGTGGCGGAGGCTGAGAGGTTGACGAGGAAGGGAATTGAGTATTGCCAGATGGAGAGAAGCTTGAACCAGTTCCCGAGGGAGATGCGCATTTTCTGGCCCATGGATGACTGCGGATGTGGCTTTGCAGAGGATTTCAGAGCCTCGTCCCAGAGAAGCGCACCGTGGCGCATGATAGCGTTGGTGGCGCCCCACACCATACCCACTGCGATCATCTTCTCCATCTTCGCTCCCTCACACTCACACTCGTACTCTCTCTCCCTCTCTCTGAAAGCCTCCGTGTTTTTTTACATGCGTTCCTCATGGGCTAGGCTAACCCGAATTAAGCTGGGCCTTTAACCCGATTTTTTTATTATTTTTTTTGCAAAACCTTCAAGATTTTAACTTCATTCTGGAATGAATTCTAGGGAATTTTAACTGTATAAGTTTGCTTTGAAAAATATATTCATTACAACATGTATGATTTTTTGAAAAAATAATAATTTATTTATACACACAAAAATTGATTACATATTATTAAAAAGGATCGTATACATCTATTAAACTCTAGGAAATTTGGTTTAATTAGATAAAAAAGATAGATTTAGTAACATATTTATGATAAGAAGTTGTAAGATAGTTTACTTTCATAAATAAAACCATACCTCTAGGTATTTGTCTCAGTGTTAGGTTAACCTCACTCAAATAATAATGTGTAGTGGAACTTTTTTAGAATTTGATTGGATGAATTTTCTTATAAATAAGTGAATGGGTGTTACATTAGAGGCATGTTACATGTTGTACCAAAGGCTAAAAGCAAGATTACCAAAGGCTAAAACATGTTTTTTTTTTAAAAAAAAAAATAGAGACATGTTACATGAGCACGTTTTCCTTTCTTACGACAGCTTCATAAGAGATGTAGAAACACGAACTTTATTTTAGATTACTACATCATAACACGTATTCTCTAATTCAAGAGACGGTGTTTACATATCATTGACATTATTGTACGTACGAAGAAAATCAAATTCTTAAGTATCTCACGAATGTTATGGGAGTTTCTTGTCTACATGAATATATAAATTCTTAACACATGTTATTAAGTCAAGATCTTATGATAATGAATGACCTTTTTCATACTTAGATATGGCGAAAACGAGTCTTAAAGTTGTAGTTGATTCTCACATAATTGGAACTAAAAATTACAATATGCAAATTTATAGCCATTTTAGATGATTTAGTATTGAATAAAAAAAATTGTAAGTTTTATTAATTGATTTTTATAATAAAGTCTGCACATAAATTACACCACAATAAAATTAATCTAAGCAAAAAAAATTTCAAATGACCCAAAAACCGTTAAAACATTAACTATTTGTTTAAATATATTATATATATGAGTATAGATTATCCAAATTACAATAAAACAAATTGAGGGGGTAGGGTAGAAGTTAGTGTGACCCCACCACGGAAAGGTGGTATTCGCGCAGCAGCAGCACGTCCACGTATGATACAGTACTCAGCAGTCAAAAGGAGATAAAAGAAAGCCACCACAACACCTAGGCAATCCTCGCGAACATGCTAATAACTCAATCAAAGGACACAAATACCCTTGCTTCCTCTGTTCTTTATTCTGTCTACAAATACCCTTCCGCCCTCTTGCTTTCTATCGGCTGTGTGGCTTCGGTTTCTCTTCCGAAGGGACAAGCAGCAACCACTCCGATTCCCAAATCATACTCTGAATCGCTTCTTGAACCTTCTCAACATGGAACGCATCGTTGGCCGCAAGTACAAGCTCGGCCGCAAGATCGGAAGTGGATCCTTCGGCGAAATCTACCTCGGTTAGTCCTATCTCTTTCTCTCTTGTCCTATTGATTTCATAATTACCGTTGAATAGAAGTTTCTCTGTTCTCATCTCTCGCTTTCGGTTTCGCTTTTTTTTGTTGCAGCGACGCATATTGACACCTTCGAGATCGTCGCCGTCAAGATCGTAAGACTCTGCGTATTGTTATTTGTTTGGGCATTTTCTGTTTGTTTCCGGCTCTATTCTATTTCGCAAGCGCTATTGTCTGATTGAAGTTGCATGTGCGAATTTATGTGTCTGATTACCATGCATGAATTGACATGTGTTGTTTTGATTGACGGCGGCTACCGGTTAGGTTTTCAATCCGCTGAAATTGAATTTTACTGTGTGTTGGGATACACAATTGTTCTCTCGTGTGTTGCAGGAGAATAGAAAAACGAAGCATCCGCAACTTCTTTACGAGGCAAAGCTCTACAATATTCTTCAAGGAGGAAGTATGCATTTTTCAATTTTAAACCTTTTCTTATCGGTGTTATTTAGAGATGGAGTGTATCAGGAGGTTGGTGAATTCAATTTGGATGTTGCCACGCTTTTGCATGCAGGTGGAATTCCGAACATAAAATGGTCTGGCATAGACGGGGAGGAAAATGTGCTTGTTCTTGACTTGCTTGGGCCGAGTCTTGAAGATCTTTTTGTGTATTGTGGAAGGAAGTTTTCATTGAAGACAGTGTTAATGTTGGCTGATCAAATGGTAAGTTAGTCTGTAATCTTTTGACGGTAAGATTTGTTCCTACACATATTCACCAAAGTGGATCTTTAAATCGAAAGTATCTGAACATTATTCTGCCTCAATTGGACTCGATAAATTTCCTGTCTGTGTTAGCTGAATTGAACTCCCGCCCTCCTTTCCTGACCCTTCAGTCATGCTTTCTTCATTTTCCTGTTAGTATTGCAGTTTACTTTGGTGTAGATTAGAAAATTTGCCACGAAGTTACTTTCTTGCATCTTCTTATATGATTGACTCTAATTACATTTGATATTAAGTATTGACTTCTTTGTTTTCTTCTTTTGGACAGATCACTAGGATAGAATATGTGCATTCTAAAGGATTTCTGCATAGGGATATTAAACCCGATAACTTTCTCATGGGACTTGGTCGGAAGGCCAACCAGGTAACTACTCATATTATTGCTCTTTTCTTGTGTAGCACGTCGAACTTGCCCTTAAATTATTTGTTGGTATTTATTTAGGTTTTATATATGTGTGTAACTGTACTGTCTTTTTCAGGTTTACATAATTGATTTTGGGCTTGCAAAACGATACCGGGAATCGGGTACCAATCGCCACATCCCTTACAGGTGCTTTTATAGGATTCTCTGTTACTTAGCTCATTTTTTTTTATCTATTTTTGATTCAACATTTATATCATGTAATTTTCCTTTGTGTGGTTTTAAATTATTTTGATATTCCAACCTATCTATTAGTTGGTTTACATTAATATTATATTTTTCGTTTGGAAATTTCTGTTATTTTTCTCTGTATCTTATTTCTTCTGATCCACGGGAAATACTCTGGAGTTATACTAACAATACAAACATGCAGGGAGAACAAAAACTTAACCGGCACAGCCCGATATGCAAGTTGTAATACTCATCTTGGGATTGGTAAGTTTGAAGTTAGAATAATTTATCAAACTTTTCAGCCTAAATAAATTTCTTTTGTTTTTCATTTGTTATATTTTTTATTTTGCAGAGCAAAGTCGACGGGATGATTTGGAATCTCTAGGATATGTACTTTTGTATTACCTCAGAGGAAGGTACAGTATTCTTCTCTCCTTTTCTTCTAAAAGTGTTTTTTGTGTGTGTAATCTTTAATTGTTGGAATGATATGATGAAAATCCTGACTATTAAATGACTATATTTCTGTCTAGCCTTCCTTGGCAAGGTCTAAAGGCTGCTACGAAGAAACAAAAGTATGATAAAATATGTCAGAAGAAAGTTTCAACTCCTATTGAGGTAAGTTTGGACTATCAGTCTTGTGAAGAACAACCCGCCTCCCCTCCCCAAAGATAATGGTATGCTTATTTGTTTGTTATTTTCCTAAGGTACTTTGCAAAACTCATCCCGTAGAGTTTGCTTCGTACTTCCATTACTGCCACTCTTTGACATTTGATCAGCGACCTGATTATGGATTCTTAAAGCGCCTATTTCGGGACCTATTTACTCGAGAAGGTGAGCATTATTTTAATATTTTGTGTAATATAAAATTGAATAAATTGCACAATTGTGTTGATATGCTTTTGAAAAAATATTCTTGGTCCTGGACATATTGTTGCATTTTAGTTGGGATTCAACAAGATGTCTTACTAGGAGACCAAGGGGAAAGGGTATAATTTTTTGCTAAATTAAAATACGGGAAATTGTTGAAATTATAAGGTTTTAGATGTAGAGAGAGGGATAGGAAATAAGAAAACTAAAATGGCTGACATTGATATTGATTTTTTATGTATTACTTTGTGATACAAAACGTAAGCGTCAATACTTATTTATAAAATACTAAGTAAATATGGCTACGTTATGATTATACTTTTCTTTGTTTGTCAGGCTATGAATTTGATTACGTTTTTGATTGGACCATTTTAAAGTATCAGCAATCTCAAAAGAGTGCAGTGCTCCCTCCACTATCTGTAAGCATTTGAATTTTGGGACATGTTCTTCCTGTATTTGAGGCAGAGGAAGAGGGTCAATGATGGTTTTGCAACTACAGTCTTCCTGTGCTCCTAACTAATTTATATTATGTCATCACAGCCAGTTCCAGGAGCAAGTAACAGTCGAGCAATTCCAATGAATATTGACCATCATCAAGGTTGGTTGAATCCTTTTATGTATGTCAATGAGAACTGTACTTTATTAAGTCTAGGATTATGGACAAATTAGCATTTAGATTTCTGCTTTTTGTTTTTTTATTATTACCTGATTGGCATGTCTTAATATATATTCAGGGCATGTTATGGAGCGGAACAGAGCAGGCGATGCTGCCGGTTCTGGTGTTAAAATCCAGTTTAAATCACCAGGGGGTAAAAATGTGAGCTATGAGAATCCACTTGACAAAAATGTAAGCCATCTTATAGATTTTCAATTTTTTGGCTTTGTTCACAATTCTGTGATTGCATACTCTTATATCTAATATTGAACCAATCACTGTTTAGCAATTATTATTCAATTATTTTTTGTAGATTTATGGAGAAGCAGATATACCCGCTGCTTCATACTCTCCTGCTAGTACTTCTATAAGGAACTCCTTGAAGCTATCTTTTTCTGCTGAAGCTTCCAACCCTGGACACGGGCAAGGCAGTAAAATTGGCCCTTCAAGTAGCTGGATGTCATCTCTGCAGCACACGTCTTCTGCTAAATGAATGCCAAATATGGTGATTATCTATCTTTTTTCTTTCTATGCCGTGAGATTTATTGTGTAATACTTATCCTTGACCATTTGTATTTTGTTGTATTTCCAGTATGAAGCTTTAAAGAAGATTCTATACATCTTTTCTCAAGTGTTTGGTCAACAATATTGAAGTGCATTCGTGGAGACTGCAGATGTGCTAGAAAATCGACAGATTGCGTAGCTCCTATTTTGAGGCCATTTATTTTGCTTCTTTCCTGAGGTGACTACAAATGATTGTGCGGTATTAAACAGACTTCCCAGGCTTGGCCCCTGTGCTGTACATAGATGTCAAATTTGGCACACAGCAATATTATGTATTAATGTTTTCATGTAAAATTAATGTGTGAAGTAGCCGAGTTACTCCAACATGTTACTTGATGATATATGTGGCAACAGAGTTTGTTTTAAAACTTGAAAATTGTTTGTCAATATTATAAATTGCAAATGTATTTTCTGTTTCTTTTATTTGGATATCTTTGATAACAGTATTTTAGTCTTTGCTTCTCATTTATTTTTTTCCTGGTTATTTTTGTTGTATATAATCAAAATGGTACATTGCAATTTTAAATGCCCACACATAATGTTAGGAATCATCCATACGTAAAATTTCTTAGCATGAGAAAGATTTATATGATCTGAAAGAGTTTCATCTTTATCAATCGTTTTCATGTCAAGTATTTCATTCAACTTCCTTCCTCGTGATCACATGATTTGCCTTTCATGATTGTTAGTTGCACTTTCTTGTTATTCACCAGGTTATCGAAAGTGTAAGTTATTCTGATACTGAAGCAAACATTATGGCTGAAGGATCACTGAAATAATGATCTCTTTTGGGTTAGCAAAGGTAGTTATTGGTGCTTTGGCATCTATTTATAACTTTTATGAATAAGAGGATGTTGTAACTAAATATCAATCAAGATTTGTGCTTCATCATCATTTGGAACTTCTCATTTTCTCTTGAACTCTTAAAGTTATTGAAAAAACAAAGGAGAAACACTACAATATCCTGCCACTGTAAAAAATTGTAGTTTTATAGAATTGGCAGTAGTTGAAAGACTGGAATGGCATTGTTGGAATAATTGGACATAGTTAACAGTAGTTGGAATAAAGATATTTCCTGCTTCAGATTATCTTTTATTTTTGTCGACATTTACAAATTATATGGCGTCAATTCATTTTTATAATAAATCTATGATGCTCATGAAACACTGCTATGCTTGTAGGTAGCACAAATTTGTCACTTTCCTAGGTTAATTTATACTGTCATTCCTGGGATGAAGTGAACAATAGTCTTATTTAAACTGATGTATATTTCATGTTGCTGTGGTAGCTGTTAAGTTTAACTGTGCAATTGGATTGCTCAATTATCTGTTCGTGATTTTTATTTTTGCAGGTCTTCTTTTTCCAATCAATATTGTCTGAAGGATGAAATTTGGCAGACTCCATGATGCTGCTACTTCTGATAAATAATTCAGCATAACCACACGCAGAAACTAGGTGAGAGATCATGTAAATATTGCCACTGCCATACATACCAGTATCACTGAGCTGATGTGTCAATGTGATTCATATGTTAATGGAAGTAGTCACTGACTTCAACAGGAGACAAGACTACCTAGTACTGGTGCTTCAATTTAAGACTCTTGAATCGTCTTGCTGGCCCAAATGGTAATCAAATTTTTGCATTCTACAACTGTATTTGTTCTATTTATTGTTGAACTCGTGAAAAATGTCATCTACCAGTAAAGTTTGCATAGCTTGTGGTGCTGATATGGGTTTTTTTGTCTAGCAGTTTGCTAACTTCAATTCAAAGCTCCCAAGACACCATATTCTTGTATATATGATACAAGTTATTATATGATCCTCTTGTGTTCTGAAACTTGTGGAAAGGTTTGTTTGGTGGGCTTTGATTGTGATCAAGTTTAAAAGAGGGAAGATTTGCATTGAATTTCCATTGCTTTAGGACTAGGAGAGCTTGGTAACTTGCTTGAAACTAGAGTTGCTTGTAATTTGAATGTTAGTTGGTGAAGGTCTATTGAGGAACATATATATCTTTTTTCTTTGATCCTATCCATCATTTCTGCAAGGTGCCAAATTAATTTTTTTAATCAATGGACATAACCTATTTCCATTATTTTTGGTACTTGTGCGTACGAGTCTCCCAACAAAAATCTCTGCAAAGGGGCCATGTATCTGAAGGAACAGCTAATTTTCATAGCCTAAACAAGATTTGGTTTCAATTGAACTGAATTCCATTCTTAACTAGATGACATTTGGGGTTTCCATTGATAAGTAAAGACTACTTGGAACTTCTATGACCCCTCTCCCCCTTTGTTCTAGTTCAGTCTAAATGCTTCTTTCTGTTCCTGAATAATTTGTGTTCCTTGATTTAGCCATAGACCAACTGTGTCAGATAAAGTGCATTCATGTGGTGAATGGAAACTATGAACTTGCAGATTTCATATGCAAGCTTATTCTCTATACTAAATCTTCGTAATTCAAGATCTCCATCTTGTGGTACAAGCAACGAACAAAATTATGTTGAAATATAAAATAATATTTTGCAGGGATTGTGAAGATTATTCCCAGGCACCATCCATTTCCGTGAGGTTGGTGTTTCAGACGTACGTAGCCAAGCTTATATTGTTTGATATGTTCTTGTAAAATTCTGATGTATCAAGTACTTCCCAGGTTGAGTAAATGGAAATTGTGAACACAGGGAAGCAGCACCCTGACGTGCACTCAGAATTTGATGAGTCGATTGCATTGCTGGAATGCTATCAAAGTACCAGTAGCATTTACCTTGAGTAAAGTTACCTATGTATGCGACTGTAGGCAAATGTATTCAAATGATTATAATGTAGTTTATAATCCGAAATGTATGCTTAAAGATTTGTGCTGTGTATGATAAAGCATTTTTCGGCCCCTCTTAATATTTCATTCGTACCAATGAATATGATCTTAAAAGTCCGAAATTACGGAGTTGAGATGTGGTACGATTATATAGGGGCTTTTGGTTTGAATATTTTATGGCAAAAATATCCCCTGCGCCATTACGCATAGTATGAGAAATAATCGTAATTTCTTTATGCTTAGTAGCTTGATAAACCTTTTTTGGCATATATATATATGAAGAGTTGCATTTGTAGTAACTCATTATTTAAACTAGGTAAAGAAATTACTGGGTTTGACTCTACAAATCTTTTAGCATTTTAATTTAATTAATCTGAAATGAGTTAAAGAAATTACTAGGCGGTTTAGAGAGCAGTTAAAGTGAAAAGTGGTCGGACAACTGTAGAATTTTAGAAAGAATCTTCTCCACAAGGATAGGGGTGGCAAACCGGTTCGTTCACTCCGGATTAAACTACAAATGTGCTACAATTGTGTTAACTTAATTTGACATTTTTTTTTGGGAGTTAAAAGTAGTTCTGGGTTTGACTCATTTCGGGTAGAATTAAAGTGTACAATAAAATTCTTCATATATTTATTAAAAAATATTATAAAAAAATAAATTAAAATGTTAACCTGGCAATAAATAAATTAATCATCTAAACTATTTAGATATTATTGAATAATATTTAGTATTTAAAAAATCAAGTTGTCAACCTATATAATTAGTAATTTATAATTAAGTACAAGATTTATGAAAAAATGATAAGAAATTTAACAAAGGATTCTTGGTGAGTTACTTGATTTGAATTTGCAATAAATCGAATTGGTTTATGAGTTGTAATCCATTTTAATGTGTTTAATTTAAGTGTTATATCTAGTTAATGTTTGAAAAAATGGTTTTAGTAGGATAGTCCTTCCATGCTAAAAATATTTAAAACAATTTCTTTTTGGTTGAATTTTTTTTTTAACAAAATTGAATCGAGTCAAATTGAAATTCATTTTTATAGTGTCTAATTTAAGTGTTATATCTAATTAATGCTTGAAAAAATCGTTTTAGTAGGATAGTCCTCCCATGTTAAACACATTTAAAACAATTTTATTTTTTGTTGAATGTTTTTTTTGTTTGGACAAAATTACATTAAATTGTGAAAGTGATTGACTTTTTAAGATTGATCCATTCACCAAAACAGTAAAGCTTTCAGTCCATAGACGGGTATGAAACAAGTCCATTGTAGACGAGGAGTTTATGCACTTTTGCATGAAATTTTAAGTTTCATTTAATTGTCTTTTTTTGTTAATTTTTTTATTGTTGTCTCTATTAATGTCCACTCGCAATAATTTTATTAAAATTTATTTTTAAACATAATTATACAATTAATTTAATAAATATATATATCGGTACTAAATAATATTTTTTTAGAAATTAGCTTAGTTGGGAGTAGGTTATCACCTAATTTAAAAGGAAAATGATACTTGAACAACTATTTTTGACAACATTTAGACACGCGCACACGTGTCAAAATCTGAGTGGTCCAGTTGGAAAAATTAAATGAAAATGGACCACTCAGATTTTGACACGTGTGCGCGTGTCTAAATGTTGTCAAAAATGGTTGTTCAAGTGTCATTTTCCAATTTAAAAATCGACTTACCAGCTCAATTGAAAACATGTTATAGATTGACATAAAAATAGTCATATCAGCTTGGGTGAGAATAAGTTATAATTTGACTTAAAAATCAACATATTAACTCAGCTAGGAGCATACCATAGCCTATTCTAAAAAAAAATTGACATACTAACTCGATTGAGAACAAGTCATTGCTTGAGTTAAAAATATATCACTTGACTTAACATTCGTCATGGTAGTTCAAACCTAACTTTAAAGTAACTAATTGAGTTTTATTAGAAGTTCACCTTAAAAGTTAGTTTAAGTAAAGCTCAACATGTTTGGAGATTGTTTATTGGTTAGCTAAAACAAAACCAAATTGTTTATTTTGTAAGTAAAATAAATGAGGTCGTAAATTATGATGTTGGTCTTAAGGATGATATGAAAGAAAGTGGAGCAATAGAGTGAAAGCTAAAACAATTACGTGCAAAAAGACGAATACCAAATTTAAAACTGATAAAAGAAAAGAACTAGTTTATAGACATTTTAGGCCTTTATACCTCAAACACTTCGGCTTGAGGTTGGGGTCTATGTATTCGGAGTTTAACTCGATAATAGATTTGATGTTCAAAAACTAATCTAAAGTTTATAGACTCATGAATTAAACTTAAGTTTGTTTTGTAAGCAATTTTATTAAGAGATATTATAATATTGAATAGGTTTCAGAAAAAAAATGAAACAACTTATATTTGTTTATATTTTGATATTAGTTTTGTGTTTTTATAATCTAGATATTATTTTTTTATTAAAAAAAAGAACGGTTTTTTATCACTTTATTAATAAATAAAAAAAACACCATGAAATAAAACTTTTTTTACTTATGTAAGCTATTAAATTTGAGTCAGAAATTTGATTGCATTCTTCCCATAGACAATTTTTAATTTTGAATACAAATCGAAGTTAACTGCCCGTGTCATGTTTTATTTAATATTCTTTCTTTTTCTCTTTTATTTTATTTTATAAATAAAAATAATTATTAATATTGATCATTGAATTACAATTGCAACATGTGACTAAATTATCATTGTAGTTAGTAGGGTCGTTGTTGTTACCGTAATTATTAATTGTTATAACTTATTATTGCTATCATCAATGTTATTAGTATGCGGTTTCAAGGTTCAATTAGATTGAGCCAATTTTTAAAAAGTACAATATAATATTTAATATAATAATGCAATACACGAATCAACAGCAATAAATGACAAAATAATACACATAAATTTATAAAATTAAAATTAAAATTTCTCCAGTAAGATATATATAAATACACACAGATTAAATATATCATATTTAAGTTTAATAAAAGATAATAACTCCGTTAATAAAAACAAGTTTTCTAGTCAACCTTTTTAACACATTTGTTTTGCCAATTCATGATTAGTTTCATCCGATTAGAATAAAATCTGGTTCTTAGAAAATTTTGGACTGAAGTTGAATCTAATATTTCCGTTGGAACAACTATGGCTGCTATAATATTTATTAGGAATGGCAATAGTTACGAAAATAATAGAGATAATAATGATAAGAATTACGGTAAGGGCAATAATAATAACAATAATTAGTATATTATTAGTTCGTATCTTAATAATTAATTCTGCAATCTGAACGAAATTTTGGATACGATCTTAAATTTTGGGATACCATCGTATATATTTCACCCGAAAATCAATTTCAATTATTCATTTGAAGGATAGAGCAAGAAAGAATTTTTTCTTTTACAATTAAAAGAGAAAAAAAAATTACACAACGGGATGATACAGGTAACTCGGGATTTACAAATTTACCTTAGAAAACTAGTTATTGCATTCTCCAAAATCAATTTAAATATCAGATATAGTCTGTTATTCATAATCATAACAAATAACAAATATTAGTAATAATAATAACAACAAAAATTTTATTCATAATTTAAGATAATATTAAATATAAGAAATATCTCAATTCGAGTTAATTCAACGATAATACGAACATGTACATAATCTATAAATATAAATTAATAAATAATATATATTTATATAGTTAAGACGATAATATATTTATATATATATTCTATTTGTAATATAATTATTATTTATTCATATTAGCATTATAAAAGATTTGTTTTATCATCATAATTTCTATTATAATGACGTGTTTCTAATTTTGAATAAAAAATATTGTTTAATCAAATAATAAATATAATGATAAATAAAACAAAAAATGATGTGTCTAGAGTTCTACAAATATTTTTAATCAGTAGTCAAATGATAAGAAATTAGATAAAATACTATGAGTTATTCTTTAAATATTGTCGTTATCAACAATGATGTTCTTGTAATGCCCCTATTGCAGATTTTGTTTCTGCATCACTCAAGAACACATAGTTTTTAAAATTTCACATGCTAAAAGCGAAACATAAATATATTTTCATAAATATAAAAAACCCCACCTACGGTTAAAAGAACAAAAACACTGTATGATTTAAATGCATTAATCCCACACGGTTTCTTAAACTTTTCATGTACTGAAGTCAAATAAGAAAACAGTTCCAGAAAACGATAGAAATGAGACAATAACAATAGAATAACCCTAAAAACAAGGAAGTAAAAATTTCAGCAGTGCAGTTCCAACTTTCTGGAATTCATGACAGACAGAAACTGTGGTGCTTGTCGAGTCTGAAGCAAGTGTCGTACCATTATGTTCACTTCTTCGTCCACTTCTTCCTCCAATACTCTACGCGGAGGAGTCACTATTACTGTCTTCAACGACTCCAATCGATCAAAGCATGGAGATTGAATTTCCATCGTATCAAGATTTTGTAGTTCCTACACAATCAAACTGAATAGTTAGACCCATTACAGAATAATTTGTAATCCAAGTACTGGCAGAATAAAAAGATAATAAACGCATGAAAGCAAATTACATGAAGGCTCCGAAAGGAGAGTGTCAATCTTTTTACATGGGAGAGCACTTGCAACCACCCTGCTACAACTGAATAATTCATGGGAAGAGAAAGAATCTTAACGTTAACTTCTTCAAGAAAAGGAAGATCACACGTAGAGGTGAGTTGGTCATCACTGAAGATGATGTTATCCCCGATTGTGATCGAAGCAAGATTTGAAGTAGAAAGTATAATTTTGTGTTTATAGTTGCGCGGGTAGATGTTGTACACAAACGAATTACTGATCTTCAAAATGGAAAGGCTAGAATTAGTTATGCAGAAGGTGTCTGCATCATTGCAAAAGGAGTAGCCTTCCATGGTCAAAGTATTCAACACGCTACAGGCTGAAAAAGGTTCAACGCAGTGACGATCAATGGCGTCAAATCTAACATTAGAGAGATGTAAGGTTTTTAGGGTTGGTAAAAGCAGGGATTTTGGAAGTTCCGTGGGAGGATCACCGACAC